ATCTTCAAGTTCTCTCTGATCTTCCTTTGGTAAGATTAAAAAGTTGAAACATGCTCATTCAGGCTTTGAGAAGATCAAAGCCCCCTGTGCTGCTCATGGGCCTGATGGAAGGGCTCTGGCAAGCAATTCCATGCCTTTGCCAAGCGTCCAGTCACCACTCACCTTTGTGTTTTATAAACACTATGGCTTCTCTCTTCTTTGAATTGGGCAAATGGAGAAATAGCAATTGAGCTTTTAAAAAGAAATCTTTGACTAATTTGTAGGTTTTCCCTCTCCTCCTTTTTCTTTTGTTTATTTATTGATGAGATGGGGCGTATTTTTCAGTCTAGTGGAGTTGTTTTAGATTTGCTAAGAGGATTCAGTGATGTGATAGTTAAGCAGGTCCCTCCGTCCTTGTAATTCCCAGTAGTTGACGTTCACGTGGAGAGGCTTGATCAGATTCAGGTTTGATGCTTTTGGCAAGACTTCACAGGTGGCCTGTTCTTCCATCAGGAGGCACCTGGGATATCTGGTGGAGTCTCTTTCTGTGTTTGCACCCTTTGAAGTCCAAAGCTCCATCAATTAACACATCAAAGACTGCAAATTGCTGCTGTGGTAGTTCTGTCCATTGATTGATTCTTCTCTATTAGCTGGACTGCTTCTCTACAGAGGAAAGCTGTCTCCTTTGCAGTTGCCTCCCCAGTTCGTCCAATACACAGTGCGGAAGACTGCATGCAGTGGCTGTGTTCCCCGTGGACTGCTTCCACACCATGACATGGTTCCCTAATGTCTTGCAGAGATGAGCCAGTAGACACACATTTGCACATTTTAAGGTGTTTGAACTCATGGATTTACATAGATTTTATGTTTTAATACAATTTTCAGATGCTCAGATTGCTTTCTGTTTTTCTCATAAGAGCCTGTGCAAGTTGACTCTGAGTCCTTTGACACAAGCCTAGCAGCCTTTGGTAACCCCCTTGCTCTCTGTGGTGTAAAGGCTATCTAGGGTTGCTAAGTATGCGCTTTAGCTGGATCTCTGGCCATTTGTTGAGAGTTCTGGCTCCTCTTGGTGGAAGCTGCAATCAATCACTGAAATCAAATGACTTTTGACTGAGCACCATCGAGTGGCGTATTAGTTCCTTCTCTCATCCCTGTGGCAGAGTAACCAACAGAAAAAAACTTAAGGGAGGGAGGAATTTTCTGGCTCACAGTTCAGGGGACATGGTCCGTCATGGTGGGTAAGGCAGGGCCGTGGGTGCCATGTACAGTTGAAACAGCAGGAAGAGGAAGCAGCTGTGTCAAGCAGCCAGGGAACGGAAGTCAGGCTGGATCAAGCCCAGGCTATAACCCAGTGACTCTCTCACCAGCATCCCACCTCCACGAGCGAGGCTCCATTTCCTAAATGTTTCATAACCTGACAAAAGAGCATCATCATCTATGGACCAAGTGCTCTGATAAATCCTGTGGGGTCACGTCACACTCAAGCACAGCAGAGTGCACAGTCTTACAAAGAGCTACTTAGGCTTCAGAATTAGAAAGGACGTCACAATCCACTTTATTCTCCACAGGCTTTAACAATATTTTATTAATTTTGGAGAATTTCATACATGCATACAATGCATTTTGATCATATTCACCCCATTCCTCCCCATAGCTCCTCCAAGATCCACTCCCTTCTCCTCCGAACTTCATGCTCTCTCTTTTATTTATAATCTACTGAGTTCAATTTGTGCTGTCCTTACATTTATGGGTGTGGGGCCATCCACTGGAGCATGGTTGACCTACCAAGGGCCACAGCCTGGTAAAGAAAACTGACTCTCCCTCCCCTGGAAGCCATCAACTGTCAATAGCTCTTCAGCTAAGGGTTGGGGCTGGTGTTTCTCCCTCCCTCCATGTAGAATGCTGACTGACTTGATCTGGTGCAGGTCTTGTGCAGATGACCACAGCTGCTGTGAGCTCCTGAGGGCAACTGTCCTGTGACATCTTGTTTTGCCCTGGTCTCCCTTGACCTCTGACTCCTAAAACCTTTGTGCCCCCTTCTTCTGTGATGGCCCCTGAGTCTTGTGGGGAGGGGTGTAATTTCAATGTCTTATTTGTGGCTGAGCTCTCCATAGTCACTCGTACTCTATGCACTTTGACAGATTGTGAGCTAAACGCTGTCCACTTCACAGAGAAACTTCTGGTATCCACATTTCATGTTTCTTAAAAGTGGACGAAATAGCTCTGGGAATGCTTTTTATGGGACAGACTCCAGGCGA